ATTTGGTATAATACATTATTTAAAATTAATTCTCTTAGTAAATTAATGCAGAATAAAAGTATAAATCTTAAAGTTTGTTTAGACTGCCTAAACAAAATTAAAACATATTTAACAGACTTAAGAAGCGATAAAGGATTTAATGAAATTCTTGTCGACGCCAGAGAACTGGCCGAAGAATTAGAAATCGAGCCTAATTTTGCGTCGATACAAACTGTTCGGCTAAGAAAAAAGAAAAAAACAGTTTGATTATGAAAGTAACGACGAACCAATAATCGACCCTAAAATTAATTACAAAGTGAACGTATTTTTTTCTATACTAGATACAACCTTATCATCTCTTGATGAAAGGTTTAAGGAATTGAAGCGATTCAATAATATTTTTGGGTTTATTTATAAAATGTTCCGCTTGACTCAAGAAGAATTAAGGATATCTTGTGAAAATTTATCGTTTCATTTGAAAGACGAATCACGTAAAGAATCAGATATTGACGCAAATGACTTATTTGATGAAATTAATTGTTTAAAATGTCACATGCCAGAGTCCACAGGGGAAAACGATTTAGACCCCCAAGTAATTCTTCAATATATTTTAGAAAATCAGTTAATTTCGACTTTTCCAAATATTGCAGTGACTATTCGATTTTTTTTAACGCTACCAGTATCCGTAGCATCAGGGGAAAGGTCCTTTTCAAAACTTAAATTGATAAAAACATATTTAAGGTCCAGTATGGCACAAGAAAGACTTAGCTATTTAGCAATTATGTCCATAAAAAGTGAAATTATGGATTCTATTTCCCTCGACGAGTTAATTAAAGATTTCGCCGAAAAAAAGGCAAGAAAAGAATGTTTTCAATAATTTATTTTATTATGTTTTCCATGTTAACAGAATTATTATAGAAATTTTTTATTTGTTTTGGTACTTTCTGGGATTTTTATTTTTTTTTATTTTTTTCTATTTCTGCTTTGATAATAGATTTCTGAGTTACATATTAGACATGTTTTAAATTGTCATATATACAAGTCTTATATCAAAATTAAATATAATTATTAGCATTTACTTAATTTCAATTTTATTTATTACCTATGTATCCATTTTTAGTTATAAAGACAACAAGTGATGATTTTTGAACGTTAAATTTTAAAAGGGGCGGCAAATTATGGTTTGCACACGGGCGGCCGAGTAGCTTGGCTCGGCCCTGGTTATTTATGTAACAAGTGTGTAAAGTTACTCACATAAGTCAAAAAAAGGACTTTACACACAAGTTGCATACAATATTTTTTCTACTACCTACCTTACACATTAACCACTAATATTAGAAATATAAAAGTTACTTTTTTTCACTAGTACGTAAAGTACTAATTATAATTAAAATAAAAAACTGTTGATATAATTTTTTGGACACTAAATAGATATATGCAAAAATAATTTACTTATTTGTCTTAGAAGGAGAAAGCATAAAAATGGTAATATTAAATAAAACATTATTTGTTGCTATGTACAATTTTTGACAAATTTTACTTTTTTTCACTCGTGCGTAAAGAATTTACTTTATATGGAATGCGTAAAGTATGTACTTTACGCACGGTAGTAGAAAATAGTTATTTTTGTATTAAGTGTGTAAAATGAGTGTTTTTTAATGGCACATAAGAGTGTTAATTTTTGGCAGAGACCGCAGGTCGAGGCCAAAAATTCTCTCGAATGTGCCATGAAAACACGAATTTTATACACGAAATACAAACAACATTTTTGGTACAACTGTCAATGTGAATTTACATCGTCTTAAATATATTAAAAATAAATACTTCCAATACATTTTGACGTGGTTTTTTGTCCCGATAAGTTATCGCTTTTAAACGACTGTTGTCATATATAATGCGAGTGGTATCGTGACTATCGATAATCGCATAAGTTATATCACGAAACGTGTTGTCAATTAGAATTTGACAACACGTTGAGTGCATTAACTTATGAGATTATCGATAGACTCGATATCAAGAGTTGTATTCATTAGATTATATCACGAATTAATAAAGTATATAATTAATAAGAAAATGATTTAATATAAATATTACATTTATGTTATTGTTTTTTTTTTCTAACAACAATAGGAACAAAATTATTTATTATAAATATTAATAATAATATATAATTAATAAGAGAATATTTTATTATTAAATATTACATTTGTCATTTTTTTTTTCTTTCATATTTGAATGATGATGTCAACAATGACAAGGATACCTACTATATTTTTAGCATTAAAAGTACCAAGTGTGATTATCAGTATAGTCACTACATGGTGGTTGATTATCGATTATTAATCAAGTAACAGTATAGGACAATATTACATTATGAGATAAGTGATATAATCTTGAAAATATTATTCAATGTTTTCAGTAAAATCGTATTCAAAAATTTTTCCTGTCTGAAAAAAATAAGTCCTAAATAACTAAATAATATTTCTCTTATCCATACATGTTATCCTTATTAATGTTATACTGTAATGTGAGCCATTTCATTATTCAGTCATGCTCTAATTCTCCAAGTCCCTCTCTGTCTTATTTGGCCTTTGAGGCTCAACTTGTCCGATTATTATATATAATTAAACCCCTTAAGACCAAACATATGTGACGACTATGGCGGAGAAGCTTTCGATGACTGTTCGACAAAGAACGGGATAATGTTTCTAGTATATTGGAGAGAATAAGTGAACTTTCTAGCACATTCGCCAATTTTTTAAATTTGTATATAAATATTGGTGGAGGACCAAGCGAGAGTTAGTTATTATATGAACAGTGAAGATAAATAGTAATTAGTAGATAGACAGTGGTGAATATAAATGGTGAACGATTCAAAGACATTCGAAATATATATATATATATATATATAAATTAAAATAGTAGTGTTTCAAAATAAATAGGTGTTTAAATAAATTATTAACAAATAAACTGTTGTTTAAAATAAACAAACATCACAATACTTCCAATACAATTTCACAGCATCTAGTGGTCTTACTATCAATTATTATTCCAATAAATGAAATTGTTTTATGATGAACAATCATCATAAAACTCTGTTAAAAATAAATCCTTCAAAAAGTAATATTTCATGTTTATTTTGTGAATTATTTTGGCAGTGAAAAAAGTAAACATTTACGCATTAATAGAGATGCAGAAATGTCAAGTTTTTTTGACAGTTGTACAAAAAATAATTTTTTAGATATTAATACCATTATAATCAATTTTTCCATTTTTTAAACTGAAAAAGTACTTTGTGCAAAAAAGTGGATATTATGTCCATATCGCACGAATACGATACGGATAATCCACTTGAATTGTACAGTATATTTTTTCTACGACTTACTAAATAAAGTTACAAAATTTTTAAAACTATATTAAGAGGTTATTAGGATAAAATTAAAAAAATTTGGCGATTTCTACCTTCTCTGGACTGAAACGATTCGATTTTGATCAACTAAAGACCTAAAAACAATAAGTACCTATTGAGACGTTAAATTATCAGGTTTATGAAAAATTTGCGCTAAACCATTCCATATAACTTTTTGATTAGGGTTTGGAAATTGTTTGAACCAAACAATTTATATAAAAATGTTTGATTCCTTTACCTCTTAACTCTGTCCATGCAAAACTATTTGGTCCATTTACCTCTTACATGTACCCTTGTAAAAACATATGTCCCCTTTTATCTCTTAAGCATAAACATATTTGTGTCCTCTGCCCCTTAAGCCTGCACATGTAAAAATATTTGATCCCTTTACCTTTTAAACCAGCCCATTTAAAATTATTTGACCCTTTTACTCCTTACGCCTACCCATGACTATTTGATCAATTTATACCTTAAGCCTCTCAATATAAAAATAGTTGGTCTCTTATAAGCCCATATCAAATTATTTAGTCCCTTTTTCATTTACGCCTGTCCATCCGTATCTGTAACGTGTGGAGGCTGGGTTAACTCACGGAACTTAGGCCTCACTAGGCCCATTGTGCATCCTCCTAAGTAGATAGGCTCCGCCTAGCTCGTGAATCAGCCTACAGATTTAATGTAGTTATATCGGCAGGTGTTAGCCAATTCTCGCCGTACACAAATCTTCTAATAAATGAGAGCGTCGAGAAAAAGTATTTGGTTGGCTGCTTTCTTGGTTAGTGAATCAGCAAGACGGTTACCTTTCGATGTTGTGTGACCTTTGATCCATCTTAAGGTGACCACATTGTTGATGAATACCTCGGCCAAAGCTTCGTGACATTCTAGTACTAACCCGGAATAAATTCGTGGTCTGTCCAGGGTGAGTAGTGCTTGTCTGCTATCTGTATAAATAAGCATGTTTCTTTCAGTGATATTATTTCTGGTGATTTCTTTTGATGATATGAGAATCTCCGTGAGCTCGGTTTGAACTACACTGGCACTACTGCTTACATCTCATTTTATGTTTAGGTTTAAGAATCTGGAGTATATTCCACATCCTGAGCCCTGTTATAACTTTATATGGCTTATGGAAAATATATCTCGGTGAGATGGAGTCCATGTTCACTTGAAGCAGTGGAAGCGAACCAAGCGCCTCCCGCCAAAAGCGATGTCTGGCCTCACCAGATCTAACATGTTCTATTCCAACCGTGCAGAGTCGGTCGTCCATGGAGGAAGGATAATTAATAGTTGTCGATCCTTTATAGTGATGAAAAAATATTTGAACCGACTATCGCTTAAGCCTACCCATGTAAAAATCATATTTGGGCTCTTCATCTCGAAATACTACTCGATTGACGTCTCGTGGAAGATTTTGTTTCGTGAAATTTCCAAAGAAACAACAAAAGGTTCTCAAAAATTATCAGCTTGAAGAAATGATTAAATAAAATAATCATATCCTTATTAGAATGGATATGAAATTATATCCCTTCAGTAGACTGATATCGCCTACCCACTTATTCATTTTACATGTGGCTATAAAATAAAGATTTATCTGACAAATCTAATAATATCCACCGTTAAAGATCCGGTCCTGTGCTAGTCGATAAAATGTGGGATCCGCTATAAACGCTATCCGCCGATTTAACTGTGCGCGCGATCGCTTTTATTTCAGTCTTTCATTTGCTTTCAATTCTGGTTGAGTTGTCTAGTCAGTGATCCCATTTTTTTGTTGCGCTTTTTATAATTAAATTCGGTAAGTACAGTTAAGAATAAAAAAAATCAAAAACTCTATTCAATGTTTAACTATTGTTTTATTGATGATATCTTTGTCATCTCAAATGATCTCATTATTTTATGAAGAACCGGTCTTCTCGTACATGTACCTGTTGACTGACGTGGAAACTAAAAATAAATCGGTTTTTATTTGAATTTATAACGGTAGTTATTTATTTGAGTTTCATACCGAATGGATTTTTTTATTTATTTATTTATTTATTTATTTAAATTCTGTAATACCTACCTATATTCTATAACCTCATTCGTCGCCTTTACTTTGGCGTGGTCGAATAGTATTTTTTCATTTTAATCTCGCTCGCATTTTCTCTACCTTTTCAACACCTTTTACATAAAATTTATTATGTTGTGAGAAAAATTAAATCAAGAAATATGTCGACAATCCCGCCCACAATTAGAAATTGTAAAACATCTCTTAAATTATTTTTTAAAAACCACTTAACTCTAAAAGCCACACTATATTCACTAAACGGCTTGTTTTAATTAATTTAAATTTAACCGTTATTGCTACCTTATTGTTTTTTATATTAAACTGGTAGTTTAATTTTTATTTTGAATATACAGAGTCTTCAGCAATACTTCTATCCCACGTGATCTGGTAGAGTAAGAAATCTAATGAAAGTGGCAGTTCTTTGTGACTTTTATGACAACTTAAGTGTCAATTTGGTCACTTGTGGTCACTTTGGTATTGTTGAAAACATCGTTATTTTCTTAAATTATTTATTGTATGTTATGTTGGATATGGGGTATTAATGCACTGCGACCTAAAAGATATATTGTGCCCTCTTCTGTCGCTAATGCATTTAAGAAATACGAGTAGTCCCGAAGATTATAACGGCTCTTCCATTCCTATCTTCTCAAGGAAGTATATGATTTGGATTTAGAATAGCTTCAAGCTAGGTAGATCGTTCTCTACTAGTTGGTATGCTCCTAAGTATATCGCCTTTCGATTTCGGAGCAGTGCCGACTTGTAACCAAAATATTGGGGGTCCAGAATGACAGATAGATTTCAGTACATATTTAGGTAAAAAAACTCTCAGTGTTTATAATATGCCTTTCTAAAACACTGAAATTTTAATAAAAAAGGCCGCAAGGTCATATTCATATCTTAGCTGCCCATACAGCACAAACACTTTTCGGAAATATTTCAAAAATATTACATTGCAACATTTGTAATGTAAACATTTCTGAAACGTAAAAATGTCCTGTAAATATATTTCTGAAATAAAAATTTGAAATCTTTTAGAAATATTAAATAGTAATATTTCTGAAATGTATTTCTAGCTTTTTTAAAAAAAAATATTATTGGACTAAAAAAGACATTTATGAATATACATATTTATTTAAAATAAACAAAACTCAAACATTGATTCTTAAACAAACAAATAAATAATTTTTAAACATTATTTCATAAAATATAAAGGTGAATCGCTTCATTTCTAAAAATTCCTTTAAATGCACTATTCACTGAAACAAATAGTTTTTGTTTTAATAAATGCCCCAAGTAAAGAAACATTTACGATTATTAATTACAATCTGATCATTAAGATCGATTAGTAATTTTATTTGAATCTAACTTATCATAACCTAGTATTCTACCGTTAACGTATAACACTTAACCGCACTATACTCTGCTTTAACATCACTGAACTAACTCAAAAGGCTTTGGTTCTCTTGAGTCTTATTATATTGGCATTATTGAGCAGTTGAATAGTCTCAAGGGGATCTAGGACTGTTTTTCGAATGACAATTTTTCGAACGACAGTTTTTCGAAGGACAGTTTTTCGAATGGACAGTTATTCGAACGGATGGTTCTTCGAACGGCCAGTTTTTCGAAGAGCCCATTGTTCGAACAGACCATTTTTCGAAAATACATTATTGAGGAATGAGAAAGTGTAGGTAATTTAAACAAAAAACATTCGGTGTCGCACCTGAAATTCAATTTAGGTAATTTATTTTTTTTATTTAATTTTTTGATAACCTGACACAGGTGCGACACCAAAACGTAAAAAATAAAAAGCGTTTTGTATAAAAATAATGATTTTATTCCAATTAATTCTTTTTAATACATGACTTATTTATAATACACTATATAACAAAAGAAACGAGGAACTTATTTATAAGACAAATTACAAGCTATACGATTTAAGTATTCTATAGGGTCTTTAGGAGAAAACTGAGTGATAATATTTTGTAATCTAATATTTAATTGTAAGTACTTCGTTTTCTTCGGCACAGCGGGAGTTCCACAGTAAAATTGAGAAATTCTCATTTCAGTTAAGGATTGTTCGCGTTGAATCGCGGTAATAAACTTCCATATTGTGGGATGGCTAGCCGAAAGTTGGCTTTCGAAGGCAAGATGCCAACCTTCAATGTGGTTGTTAGTCTTGGGTTGACTGTTTAAAACATTATTAACACAGTTCCACATTTCCCAATCAAACAACGGTGACCTTCGACGACCGCGACGAATCATCCCAATCCATGTTTCCTCAAAGTAGTCCAGAACCTCGGTACCTTCTTCTGGAAAATCATCGCTTAATTCATTAAAAAATGGCTGTGTGTATTTTGTAGGTACGAAAGCTAATGTAGCTAAAATCTTCATGTGCTGTGCAAAGTTTTTGTCGGTGTCATATCGCTGTTTAAAGCCAGCTGTTTGAATGTTTCTGTAAATTGCCTGTGAAAAGTGGAAGAAACATCCTTGTACAGTTGCATTCGGAAATTCTTGATGTATCGCTCCTATCATCGCTGCTTCAAAATCTATTAGATCCGATTGCGGTCTGAGAGCTGGTGCTAGATCTTTAAGGGCCGAAATTAACTTTATGTAAGTGTCTTTTGATTTATCAGGTAGAAGTGCATATACCAGTGGTACGGATTCCTCGTTTATAAATGTATGTATGGTGTAGAGCTGGTAAAAAAGCATAGGTGCAGTCTTAAAAGTTCCATCCATGTATATGTATTCAGCTTTTTGTAGATAATCCAGGTTGTCTTTCGTGCTGAAAATCTGACTTCTTTGTTTAATGTTTCCAGAATCGAAAAGTAGAAATGGTTCGCCTTTTGTGGTGGTTTTAAAAGAATCAGGTAGATACAACTCCTTTAGACTTTTCGGCTGTGTGGGTTCCATGTTTTCTTTCACTCTTTCCCTGCGTATTGTTCGCTTTAAACTATTTACTTTACTTAGTTTGGCTGCTGTTAGTTTGTCCACTTCACTTGATAGTGCCGATACTAGGTAGTGTGGAGTGTTTCTTGTTGTCCGAGCATTGTCCTTCAGTTTATTCTTAAAACGTATGGCATCTACTTCTGCTGCATCCGCGGGGTGGTTGTGAGAAGTCTCTTTGCAAACATCATCATGGCTTGTAATTGCTCGCGATTTACATTTCTTAGACAAAAAGAACTCGCACTTCCATTATGTTTTTTCATCAACGGCTTTGTCTTTAACGAATAAAAATCCGTTCAAAAATAACTTTTTTTTTTCCTTTTTCACTGAAGAGGAATTCGAGAGGCATCTTTATAAACACTAAAATCAGACTGAATACAATGTCAAAATGTCATAATAATGTCATAATAATTACCTGCTTATTTATAATACTAATTAAAATTAAATTACATAAAATAAAACCTTACTTAGAAGATTACCTGTTCTCAAAATTCAATGGGATTATAATACTAATTAAAATTAAATTACATAAAATAAAACCTTACTTAGAAGATTACCTGTTCTCAAAATTCAATGGGATTATAATACTAATTAAAATTAAATTACATAAAATAAAACCTTACTTAGAAGATTACCGATTCTCAAAATTCAATGGGATTATAATACTAATTAAATTATATAAAATAAAACCAACTTATTTCGAAAAATTGTCTATTCGAAGAATCGTACATTCGAAAAATTATCAGTTCGAAGAATTGTCTTTTCGAATAACTGTCCATTCGAATAAATGTCGTTCGAAGAACTGTCGTTCGAATAATTATCATTCGAAAAACTGTCCGGATCCCGTCTTAAGGTTTTCATGTAGGAGCAATCGTTGTTGGTGACTACTGGCAAATTTTTGTATTGTATTTTCAATAGTCTCCACTTTAAGGTCCCTATGAAGATCATTATTGTGGCAGTAACAGGGTGCATTGACGATGTTCCTTAATACTTTATTCTGGAAGCGTTGAATAACTTCAATGTTACTTTTACTGGCACAGCCACAAAGCTGGCGAATCGGTTCATTTTCACCAATTCCTTTAAATGCACTAATCTGAAACAAATTATGGGTAATTAAAAAGGTTGTATTTAAATAGAAATAATAATTATATGCCTATAAATTTGGTAAACGAGAGAAGAGATAAAGATAATAAACCTAACCTACACAAGAATTGTAGTACTCGCCTCAATTTCTAAGGACAAATTCTGCTTCCCATATAACCACAGCACAACGCTTAAATAACAAAAAAAGGAAATGACAAAAACCAACAACTCAAATCTATAATTATTTATATAGGGTTGTCTCTGGCTGGACATAGGATGAAAATAACTGCATATCCCATCTTAATCTTCTTAAAAATCAGAAATTCTTCATTAAGTGTTGGCCTTTTACAACATAACCCGTTTAGTATCCTTTTTGTATAACATGTATACCATGTTTCAGAAACATTTTCAGTGAAATATTTAAATAAAAATTTTCCGAAATATTTCAAAAACCTTGTGCTTGAAATGTTATATGTTTAAAACGTTTGAAATATTTCTGAAACACTTCTGAAATAATGTGTGCTGTATGGGTGGGTCGCTTCGGGACGGTCTGTGCACCGCTTGGGCCGTCCACGGTCCTACCCTCACTTCCCGCGGGGCTCTCTAAAAAGTAACGCTAAGACACGTAGTGTTTGGGCTCTATTTTTGCCAGATCGGCGAGCTTTGACCATAGTCTGTCGCATGTGTGATTCGGTTTTGCAGATGTAGATTATTGCTTTATG